AGAGTCAATGATGAGGATGAGGTAAGGTCGCGAGAATAACAAGTACCATTATTGTATATGCTATATTACGAGCCCAAAAGCAATTATCAGCATTGCCAACATAAAGAGAATGGAGATGTACAAATCGTTCTGATAGCCGCTGATGACAAAGACTAGGGAAAAAATGGGCACATGGAACTCTAAAATAAACACTAACAGTGAACTTCGATCACCAATATACGCAAACAGTGCCGATTTTTAAGCAGTTTTATAGCGCTAATGCACAGGCGATCGAGAAATGAGATAGGGCAAGACGGCGCCAAAATCTGGCGCCTTTACAACAAAGCATTGTCTTTTGATTTAAAAAAAAAAGCCATTTTCTACTCTTCCGATTTTCATGCATTTTCGCCTAATACAGAAGACGCATCAAGAGAAAATCAAGAGCTCAGTGATCAAAATATGGTGAAGTGGTTTTAATCCCGAGATGTCCGAACCAACACTTGCAGATTTCAACAACTTGTCATGCGTTCTATCATGACTTTTACAGCAGGATTTCGCGAAAACAACTGTAATATTTTATGCTCTTATTCAAGACACGTTCTGCCGATGGAAAATACCATGCTCCCCCTTCCCCCGCCTCCCACACTCCTCCTCTCGATGCGTGGGGCAAAAAAGTGAAAAGGGACTACGATCCACATGTTCCGCAAACATTGGTCATTTTCATGAAAGCACGTTGTGAATGTGGGTCGTTACAGTGCGTGTCACTGCAAATGATTTAAACAGAGCTAAAATTCCATGAACATAATGGGTAGGACAATAACGAATCTGAAATCAGCTTCCAAACTTCCGACTGTCTTTTTATAAGTGCTAGCAGGCTGCCAATAATAAAACATCTGGCAAAGCTATCGATGTTTCCTTCTCACGTAGCTAAGCAATAGCAGCAGAAAGTGCCACGGCAAAAAGTGTGTATTAAAAATACATGCAAAGTTAGTGTAGGTAAAGAAACCATACTTTGGTTCCGGTATTAGTTGTCGTTTCCGGATACTTGCAGCGACATTTTCTCCGAGATGCCAGAATATGGCGACCAGTGTGCTCCCGGCTGCTTCCCGCACATCGATGTTTGGGTCGACCATCAGATGACATATCGTCGGAATCATACGGTGCATTTGTGGCTCTACCAATCGCCTTCTGAATATAGCAGTTTCTGTATTTTTCAGTAATTATTAAAATACTGAGTAATTATAGAAATAAGTAGTTTTGTTAGCTAAATATGAATAGTAAGCTTCACCAAAGACTTAGCTGCAGTTTGGCGCAAATTACGTATTATCAACGGAAAGCCTGGATACAAAACAGAAAACATGATTTTTATGTGTTTTTTGCAGCTATGCAATGGAGAAAACGCATATTGACGAGGGGTTGTCTGTGTCTGTGTGTGTGTGTCTGTTTGTTCGTTTGTGCCGATTTTCCATCACGAAACCGGAAAAAGCTACAGAGCTGAAACTTTGAGGACATAATCTACATGCACGTACTAGCCCCCATCCCGAAATGGGCGATATTACCCACGTGATACCCTCGTAAGAGCCCGCCAAGATTTTTCTCGGGTAAGTTGATAACTCGCGAACCAGAAAAGCTAGAAGGCTGAAATTTTAAGGGGAAGTTTCCTACCCAAGTAGATATTAACGAGCTGAAAATCAGCCTGCGGGTAAGCGTGGCACCCGCATAGGGGGCCCGCCAAAATTTTTTCGGATAAGTTGATAACTCACGAACCAGAAAGGCTAGAAAGCTGAAATCTTAAGAGGATGTTTCCCGTCCACATTAGTTTCAACGAGCCCAAACACAGCCCTCGGTCATGTGTGGCACATACGTACGGGTTCACCAAAGTTTTCTTCGGGTAAGTTCATAACTCGAGAGCCTGAAAAGCTAAAAGACTGTAGTTTTAAGATGTTCCCCGTCCAAGTAAGTCTCAACGGGCTCAAACCCAGACATCGGGTATGTGTGGGACCCGCGTGCGGGCCCGTGAAATTTTTTTCCAGTAAGTTGCTAACTCAAGAGCCAGGAAAACTATAAAGTTGAAATTCTAAGGAGTGTTTCCTGCCGGTTCTGGCGGCCAATCCTAATTTGTTTAGCTAGAAAACATTTGCCGAAAAAAAACCGATGCCGGCAGTGACAAAAACTGCGGAAAACCATGCAAATAACGCATCTTCGCACGGGCAGCCCGTGCGTTGGCCAATTATTTATGTTTTAATGTTCCATTTTCAAATTTCATTACCCAGGCCGGGTAGAGAGTTATTTCACCTGTGTAAGTTATTTCACCTTTCACCATTCATGTAAGTTATTTCACCTGCTAGTTGAATTTTAAAAACAAAGGTCAGAAATTCTTAAAAGTATTTGAAAACTATTAGGGGTTTTAAAAGCCGGTTTCTTAGTGCTCTCATAAAAGAGGTGAGAAAATTATTACCCATTTAAAACCAAATACTCGAATATTTTCGAAAAGTCAAAAGTCGGGATTCAGAAAAAATTTACTCGGAGTGATGCAAATTTAGCTAAAAAAGCGATAAAGTCAATCAAAAAGGTGCGAAACATAGATGAAACCAGTCGAAGGTGGGCGGTAGACGGGATAAAATGTACAGGACGAGGAAGAACAAAATATGCTAAAATCAAAAAAAAAATCTGATCCAGAACATTTTAGACTTTGAAAAATCTAACAAAAGGGAGAAAAAAGTTTTGGGCAACGGTTAAGGGTACCGTCGCGGATGAGGATCAAAGGTACCAAATTCGGGATGTCCCCTCTTTTCTCGGAAACTAAGTGCCTCATTATATCTATTCACTTTTGCACGCTGTGCTGTCCATCAGAACTCAATGTCAATTTGACCATTAATTCCTCATTTGCACCATTTAAGTGAGACGCCCTATTAATTCATCTTTTTCGCCTATCATGCAAATTTTATTGGCTTTTTTCCACAAGGTGGCCATTTCGAGGCCAAAAAGGTTTCCTACTTCCGAACATTGATTAGGTACAGTACTACCAATGTTAATGTGTATGAGATCCACATTATTATTTCGAGCGATCTTGGGGGCAATGCACGCGAAATTGACGATTCCAATCAAAGTGGTATGAGACTGCTTCTGTGGCGCCAATTTTGTCTAGCTAAAGTTTTTCTCAGTTGCTTTTACCGAAGCTACGTTGCCAGAAGACAGCCTGCTAGTGATCCTAGACTCGTTCCGTTCCC